GGCGCCGCGGGCAGAGAGAACCGCGATGGCATCGCGGGCTCGGTGGAGGCGCTGCACGAGCAGGCCGCGCTGGCAAGTGAGAGGGCGGGGGCGGACATGGCGGGCGCGGTTGGGGAATAAGCGGCAATGGCGTTCGCGGGGCGCCAGTGGCTTCGCGGTGCGGCCGTGGGCCGAGTTGGGGGCGCGGCGTGGTCGGCGCGGCGGTCGGCGCCTCGCGCTGGCGCGGGCCCCGCCGTGAGGCCGCCGCGGGGAGACGCCGCAGGCCCCGGTGGTTCCGCCGAGGGCGCGCGGTCCACATCGGGGGCCATCCAAGACTCTGCCTCGGCCGTGGGGGCGGTGGCCGTGTCGGGGGCGCGCGCAGAGTGGGGCGAGAGGTCGTCTCCTTGGCTCGGGGCCGAGCCCGGCTTGCGGGCGCGGGCGGATGACGGGGGGGGCGGTGTCCCCGTCGCGCCCTGGGCCTGGGTTTAAGTGCCTGCGCAGCGCTGGGCCCGCTTGGGCGGCCGCTCCATGGTCCTGTTTGGGCAGTGGTTTTCGGTGCTTTGGGCGGTGTTTTGCTCGGCCTTGGGCCGCGGCGCCCCTGGTTCGGGCTTGGCCCTGACCTTTGGCGACGCTGGAGAAGCCCGCGGCCTGGCCAGTCGCTGGGCCTGGGATTGGTTAGCGGAAGCAGTGGCGGTCTTACTGCGGAAAGGGTGGTGGTCAAGCTCCCTCTTGGGCGCGGCTGCGGTCGGTGCCCGAGGTTCGCCCCCTCGGCCTGGCGCGCTATCATCCTCGCTGTCGAGGGGTGTGGTCGCGTGTTCCCTGTGGGCACGACTGTGGTCGATGCCGCTGGTCCAGTGCTCCTGGAGGTCGTTGTCGGCGTCGCGTCGGCAGTGGTCGGGCGGGGGGTGTTTCCAGATCGCCCATGCCTCCGCCGAAGCCAAAGTGGGCCTCCTCGTCGTCGTCAGCGCTGGCCTGGGCGCGGCAGGCTTCCCCCCAGAGGGCGTGGGGGTCACTGGGGGCGCTTGGTTGGTATAGGGGGGCGCCCGCCGCTGACGTGGGGTTCGGTTCAAGCTTGCTCAGATGAGCGTTTGTGACTCCGGCCCGTCCGTGGGGAAGTGGGGGCGCGCGGTGTCGTTTGTCGTGGGTGGTAACCGCGGCGCTATGGGGCACCGCAGCAAAGCGGTGTCGCTGTTTCGATTATTCGATGAGGTGGCGTGGGAGGTGTTGGAGGGCGACCGCGTCAGCGGCGGGGTGATCAGCTTGGCGAACGAACTCTTTCGCTATAACGCTGATGCGGTTTGCGTCGACGCCCTCGTCGCCAAGGTGGCTCGTGACTTTCTCCATTCGGGAGAAGTTAGGTTTGGCGGGGGGGGCGCGGCGTTGGACGCGTGCCCAGAGGTCGGCCCGCGGTCCATCTGAAGCCGGGGCAAGGCCGTCAAGGACCCGTTGGAAGCCATCAGCCACGGCTTGGCTGGACCGCGTAGGTGGCGTAGGTGTCGCCGCCGGGCCCTTCTGGTGGCGGACGGGGGGTGAGTTGGGGGAGCTGATCCCAGGATAACTCCGCGAAGGGTTCGGTGGATTCGTCAACGCGCCCGCAATGTCGCGAGCGCCATTGCTCGTCGGAAATCATCGTGGCGAGGGGGCGGCCTTTCAGGTTCCCGGCAGGGGCGCCTCCGGAGGGCGTGCTCTTGCGTCTCCTCGCCTCGCCGTGATCGCAGCGCCTGCAAGGTGGGCTTGGGTCAGCTGATATGTAGGCGCACTCGCAGCGCTGCTGCGCGTGATCGCCGCCCGCGGCGTAATTGTGCATGGGGCCTCGTAAGGGCCCCCTGGGTGCGGGCCAGCCACGCGCTGGCGCGCATGTCGATTCCCTGCGTCGCTTTGGGGAAGCGCCCTTGGTCGCGGCGCGAGGGTTTGAATGTCCTGGGGAAGGCGCCCAGCTATCTCACTGGGGGTGGAGCGGGGCCCAGATTCAGCTGACTCGAATTCGATTCCTATTGGAACATGATAGACCCTCACGAGGGCGGATCCCAAACGCAGCTGATTCATGATGGATTCCTATGATCATATATCTGCTCATCTGCGCTTGTAGCCTACGGGGCTGGCAACGCACTCATGCGTGAGTTCGCCGCCTGGGGATGAGAGGCCCAGTGGCCCCAAGCTCGATCCCCCCCTCTACATTCCAAGCAGAGGAATGTAGAGCTGAGCGGAGGCAGGTTCTAGAAAACTCCAAGAGAACGAATTCAGAACCCAACGAGAACAGCTTCTACACTCCAGCAGCAGAGTACCGAAGCTGCGGGAGCGCCAGCTGAATTCTGCACTCCAAGGGAGACAGCGCCTACATCCAGAAAAGAATGTAGAATTCACCCGCGTGCCGAGGGCCTCCCCGTAACCCTCCTCACCATCAATCTCCTCTCCGACCTCCTCCTCCCCATCATCGCCCTTGTCCTCGTCCTTCTCCTGCCCTTCCTTCCCCTCCTGCGCTCAATGCCCTTCCCGCCGCCTCTCCGGCCATCCCGCTCCAACCTCCCATCCCCCCTCCTCTCCTGGCGCGGGTCTGCCCTCCCTCCCTTGACATGGACTAACCGGCCTCCAGCTCATCCCCATCCCAAAAATGGCAAGCCCAAAGGCGATGCCAATCTGAGGGAGGCGCGCTCACAACCCGAGGGACATTTTTGTTCCTGGCTGGTAACCCACAACGGTCTGGATCAGGACCGTGCTCTCGTTCCGACTCGCCTCATGAGTGCCCAGGAGCCCACCAACGGCCCCCATGAGACCCAAAACGACGAAGCCCTTTGCCTCGCGACTGTTCCACGACACCATGAAGTCTGGTCTTCGAATAAATGCCTCGGGTTTCCGGCGGCCGATCGGGGTGATCCGGGCACCCCCGGAACGTTCTCGGCGAAGCGCACCTGCTGCTGGAGAGTACACGGCGTTCATTTCTAAACGTGCTCATTTCTACTTGTGCTCGTTTCGAATGGTTCCTGGCCCCCTAGTGGCCAAGAAGAGGCCCAGGATAGAACAATTAGAAACGAAAGGATCTTGGCCCCCCAAAAAATCAGAGAACTTCCGACTACTTAGAAATGAGCAATGTGTATCCCGAAGCCGGAAATACTGTGGGAATGTGAGGGCGACGGATTCTATACACATCCGCTGCCCCCGGCCAGGCCAAGGGCAACGGATGTGTACAGACTCCGTCGCCCTAAATCACGACAGACGTCCAGAAACCTCCTCCTCCTCCTCCTCCTCCTCCTCCTCCTTCAACCTCCCTCTGACTCTGCTTTCCCCTGTTTTCCGCACTGTCGTTTCTAGCGCTTCGCGCCCTCGGCCTCCCTCCTGTCCGGGCGCTGGGACGCCTGGGATTCAGGGCTGGGCCTCCCTTCGCTGTGGAGGGTGGCGGTCGAAACCAGCTCTCGGGGTGAGAGCTTTCAGCGGGGCGGCGCGCAGACTGCTGCAGTGCCGACGCCGACCGACCCACCGGTTCTGCCCTCGGTGGCCTCCAGCCGGCTGGCGTTGCGTGCGGGAGCTGCGGCCCGCAGGGCTTCGGCGGCCAGGCGCTCCGCCCTCCGCCGCCAGTGCTGCCGCACCCCGCCTCCAGGCTCCGCGCTCGCCCCGAGGCAGCACGCGTCCCACACCTTACGAGGAGAAACGACGGGACAAGCACGACAAGAGACGCTTCGATGTTTGAGGTTTTCGGACGTTTTCGTTGGTTCTTGGCGGTTCTCCAGCCTCGGGATGCCTTCCAGCGGCTGCGCCTTGCCGAGAGCGTTTTGGGGGTGCTCAGGTCATTTTGAACGGTCGCTGGAGAGCCGAAAGATGACCCGCAAGCCAGGGGAACCGGAGAACATCGGGCTTTAATTGGCGATACATCGCCGATAGATCGGCGATAGGCACCCGATAGTGAATCCGCGAGTTCCTGGGCGGGGTGGGCTATCAAGCCTCTATCGACGATGAATGGGCGATGGGGGGCGATGCATCCCCTCGTGAGCCTCCCCCCACTGTACTGTTGTCCTTGACACGGGCGCAGCGGACCAATGAATTTCTTCCTGGCACGCCAGGGGGACGCGCCGCGGAACGTCCCAAGGGACGCGCCAAGGGACGTGCCATGGGGACGCACCGCGGGACGTGACAAAGGGATGCGCTACGGAACGCGCCAATGGACGTGCCACGGGACGTGCCAAGGGACGCGTCGCGCGACGTGCCAGGGGGACTCGCCATGGGACGCGCCAGGGTGCCAGGCAGCGTGCCAAGTTGCAAGGCTGCGTTTATCGATCTTGACGTACCGTGCCAAGGGTTGTGCTGTGCTGCGCTGCGCTGAATTGCGATGTGCCATGCCGCGATTGTGCTCTATATCGTTGTGGATCGAGCCCCCCTTTGCATCCGAGTCCTGACCGAACTGATCTGGATCTTAAGCTCGAGCTGCCTGAGCACGTAGCAGCTGCCCAAAAGCCAATTGACAGGGGGACACGCCAAGGGGGCGCGCCGCGGAACGTCCCAAGGGACGCGCCAGACGAGGTGCCATGGGACGTGCTATGGTGACGCACCGCGGGACGTGACAAAGGGAAGCGCTACGGAACGTGCCAATGGACGTGCCACGGGAAGTGCCAAGGGACGCGCCGCGCGACGTGCCAAAGGGACTCGCCATGGGACGCGCCACGGAACGTGCAAGGAAACGTGCCAAGCGACGCGACAGGGAACGTGCCAGGAACCGCGTCAGGGAACGTGCCGCGGGACGCCCCTGACACAAGGCCAGGATCCCTCAAAAATTACGCTGCGTCCGCGCTCCCGGGGACAGGATCCATTGTAAATTTATTGCGTCCGCGCTCCCAGGGCCGCGCTCTCTCGTAAATTACGCTGCGTCCGCGCTCCCGTGGCCACGTTCCCGATGGAATTACGCTGTGTCCGCCCCCGCAAAGCCACGATCCCTGGCAAAATACCCTGCGTCCGCGCTCCAAGACTCCAAGGGCCAGCTTCCAAGGGCAAGAATCAAAGCAACTCCTCTGGGCATCATTGCTGAAAAGATGATCAACAAATCCCGACAGTCGGTACTCTTTGCTAAAGTGGCTGCTTTAGGATGGGCTGGTGGGGATTCGCGAAGCGTGAACAATTACGTTGCGTCCGCGCTCCCAGGGCCACGATCCACCAGAAATGACGCTCCGTCCGCGCTCCCAAGCCCAGGGATCCCTCGTAAATTGCGCTGCGTCCGCGCTCCCAAGTCCAGGACCCGAGCTAAATTACGCTGCGTCCGCGCTTCCAGGGCCACGAGCCCTTGTAAATTACGCTGCGTCCGCCCTCCCTGGGCCACGATCCCTGGTAAACTAAGCCGCGTCGACGCTCTCAGGGCCACGAGCCCTTGTAAATTGCGCCGCCTCCGCTCCCTCTGGGCCACGATCCCTGGTAAACTAAGCTGTGTCGACGCTTTCAGGGCCACGAGTCCTCTTAAACTACGCTGCGTCCGCACTCCTGGGGCCCCCTGGGGCATTCTTGGGCGTCCGGGTTCATGGAAGTCTCCCAAACAAGCGTTTCGCTCGAGACATCCTCAGAAAATTCAGCAAAACGAGCGTTTCGCTCGAGACATCCGCAACAAACGGAAATACTTCCTTTGCCCTGCGTTTTATCGATCGACGTTTCAAATCAAAAACCAGCGTTTTGCCAGGGACACCCTCAGCTGCTTTATCCGCCGGCCCTAGAACGGGATTTCTATCGCAGAATAATTTCGCCGGCCCGTCTCAAGTCGATTCCTAGGGTAAACCTGCTAAAAAAGAGCCCTGGGCCTTTCCGGGAAAAATCATATCGTCAGAGACCTGGGGTTCCTTCGTGGCGAGCTGCGGAGCGCCCCCCGAGTTTGAGCAGGGACCGACCGTCCCGCCATTCCTATATGCCTACCGCGACATGTTCTTGGAACCCAAAAATGTTCTGAGAACGAACGCATTGCTCTTAGAACATAAACCCTATGTGTTAAAACACGACAGTCTCAGCCAGAAATGTTCGAAAAACGTCCCGTGCAAACTACAAAAGGTTCTTTGAACATTGTTTGGTAGGCCTACAGGCACGCCAGGACGCTTCGCCACTGCTTGGCGAGTGCCCCCCCGTCGCAAGCACCGCGCCCAGCGCCGGCGCGCCGCAGCCGCGCCGCAGCACCGCGGAGGGCCCGCGCATCACCGCCGCGCCGCAACACCTCCTGCGCAGCTCCTGGACGGTGCGGGCGCGACCGCAAGAAACCCTCGCAAGAAACCCAGCCCTGAAACCCGCAGACGCGCGATGCTCACGGGATGGAACCCAGAGCACCCTGACCGCACCAGATTCTTCAAAGGCCGCGGGAAGCCACTGCGCAGAGCGCGGAGCGAAGAAACCCAGGGCAACCTGACGAGAAACAATTGGTTTCTTGATGGGCGCTCCCATTGTACGAACAAGGAACTGCCATACCCAGGCATGCTATGACATGCTCGCGTCGCGAACATGATCGACCCACGAACTTGGAAAGGAATGTAGAAACGTCAAGCATGGCAGCGCTTTGAAGACACCTGCTTCGGCGACGGGCAATTGCAATGCTGAGTGTATCGATATTGACGTACCCTGCCAGGGGCTGTGATGTGCTGCGCCGTGCTGAATTGCGATGTGCCATCCCGCGATTGTGCTCTATAGCGTTATGGATCGAGTCCCATCCGAGTCCTGACCGAACTGATCTGGATCTCAAGCTCGAGCTGCCTGAGCACATAGTAGCTGCCCCAGAACTAATTGACAAAGGAGCATGCCAGGAGGACGCGTCGCGGAACGTCCCAAGGGACGCGGCAAGCGACGTGCCAAGGGACGTGCCACGGGGAGGCACCGCGGGACGTGCCAAGGGGACGCGCTTCGGAACGTGCCAATGGACGTGCCACGGGACGCGCCAGGGGACGCGCCGCGCGAAGTGCCAGGAGGACTCGCCACGGGACGCGCCAAGTTGCAATGCTGAGTTTATCGATCGATGTACCGTGCCAAAGGCTGTGCTGTGCTGCGCCGTGCTGAATTGCGATGTGCCATGCCGCGACTGCAATGCATCCGAGTCCTGACCGAACTGATCGTCAATTACGCCGTGTCCGCGCCCCCAGGGGCAAGATCCATCGTACATTACAGTTTGTCCGCCCCTTCCAGGGCCATGATTCCTTGCAAATTACGCTGCGTCCGCTCTTCCTGGACCACGATCCCTCGTCAATTACGCTGCGTCCGCTCTCCCTGGGCCACGATCCCTTGTAAACGTCCTTGCGTCCGCGCTCCCAGGGCCGCGCTCCCTCGTGAATGACAGAATGTCCACGCTCCCAGGGCCGCTCTCCCACGTGAATGACGCAGTGTCCACGCTCACAATGAACGACGCAGTGTCCACGCTCACAGGGCCACGATCCCTAGTGAATTACGCTGGGTTCGCGCCTCCAGGGCCCAGATCCCTCGTCAATTACGCTGCGTCTGCGCTCCCAGGGCCAGGATCCTTGGCAAATTACGCGGCATCTGCGCTCCCAGGGCCGCGATCCTTTGTAAATAACAGTCCGGCCGCACTCCCAGTACTACACGGGGGGGTACTATAGTTTTGACCATAAGACGTCATGCTCTCGACGCCCCCTGCCCCCCCCGTAGAATCTTAGCGACATGTTTTGGGTCGGGCGGCGGTTCGACTCCGATGGGCTCTCACCCTGTAAGAATATAATAATATATATATATATATATATATATATATATATAACAGGGTGATAATTACTCCGTCCCATTTAAATAGGGCCGGAAAACACTCCGACTTGAACCCATTCACAGTAAACCACTCCGCTTGGGTCACGTTTGATCGTCCGTGTCATCATCCCCATCGACCCTGTCCTTATCATGCCAACGCGATGTTTCATTGTATTCCTTGTTGCGTTGATGCTGTGAGACCCTGGGCATCCTTCTCCAATGCGGTCGCTCTCGGTTCACTGGTTGGCCGTCCCAGAGGGCCCATCAAGGCTCGCGAATCCGCATCAAGGCACCTTTGCATCCTGATCGGTCCTCCGCGGCACGCGTGACCAGCGAGGCAATTCTCATCTTATGGTCAAAACTTTAGTACCCCCGAAGTATCTGGGCATCCTGGAGCGCCCAAGCGTTTCAAGCGCTGCAAAACAAGCGTTTCGCCCGAGACATCCTTAGATATTCGGCACGCAGGGTGCATCATCCTTGAGCGGGCACGCAAAAAAGCCAACCTGCCTTCTACAAAACAAGCGCGGGACTCGAGACATCCTCGAAATTCCTGCGCGCGGAACGCGCCATCCTCGAGCGGGCATTCAAAAAGTCAGCTGCTTCAAGTTTCTCGTGTCCCAGTCGGGGCTCCATACCTCGATATTTAATGGATTCTGCGCAAAACGCTCCGCACCCTATTGTTTAATATGGAAAAGGGGGGTCCGCGGACGCCATTGGGCAACGAGAATCCGAGATGAGCGCGTACTTTACTCGAGCGGGCACGCGCGAAACTATTTTTTTTCCACGCCGAATGGGACTTCACCGAGTTATTTATCGCAAAAAACTCGCCGACCCTCTTCAAGCATTGCACTGGGGACAAGTTTACCAACTAAAAGAAAACCCTGGGCTCAGCCTTTTCCGGGAAAAACGCCATAAAACATAAACATGATTTTTGCTGCGCTCCGCGCGGAGCACCAAACAGTTTATGTTTGCGGCGTTTTCTCTTCGATGAGGGTGGGTGAAGAGGAAGAGGAAGAGGAGGAGGAGGCGGAGGAGGAGGATGAGAAGGACTAGGAGGAGGAGGAGGAGGAGCAGGAGGAGGAGGAGGAGGAAGAGGAGGAGGAGGGCGGAGCAGGAGGAGGAGGAGGAGGAGGAGGAGGAGGAGGAGGAGGAGGAGGAGGAGGAGGAGGCGGGGGGGAGGAGGAGGAGGAGGAGGAGGAGGAGGAGGAGGAGGAGGAGGAGGAGGAGGAGGAGGAGCGCTGCGGGGCTCCTGCGAGGGCCAGCACTCGACGGCCCCGGCGCCCAGGGCGGAGGCCGAGCACAGCAGGCCGCCGGCCCAGCCCGTGGCCGGCGTCCGGCCGCGTCGCGGGGCATCCCGGGGGCGCCCCGCGGCCTCGCGCGGGGGGCCCCTGCGACCAGCCCGTGCGAGGAGGGGATCTGCCAAGAACCACTGATGGGCCTGTTTTCCACCACCACCATCAGTTGGAGCGGAGGGGGTCCTCCTCCTCCTCCTCCTCCTCTCCTCCTCCTCCACCTCCTCCACCTCCTCCTCCTCCTCCTCCTCGTCCTCCTCCTCGTCCTCCACCTCCTTCCCCCCTGCAGCTTGTGGTGGTGGTAGTGAACAAAAACGTCCATCAACCACCGCCCCGCGGGATCGAGCTTCTGGGGCTTCGGCATCAACCACCGCCCCGCGGGATCAACCACCGCCCCGCGAAGGCATCCGTGTCCAGCGCCTGCCGAGGTCCCCGCAGGTCGATCGCCCAGGCGGTGGTCATGGGTGCATCCCCTCCTCGGACACCGCGCTCCGCGACCTCGGCGCGGCCGCGGCCGCCCGGGCCGCGCCTCCGCGCCCATCCCTGCCAGACGCAGCTGCATCAGGCAACGGATCGGATGGCAACGGGGGGGGGGGGCGCGCGAGGAGGGAGCCTCGCAGATTCTGGGAGGTTCGTGCAGAGGGAACCTCCGGGCCAGTCGGCCAGCCAGGAGAGCTCGGGAAGTGGCGCTGCGGGGTCCGCCCTGGCCATCGGCGGAGGTCTTTTGATGAGTGTGGCGCCCTATGGCTCGGCCGGGTCGGATGCAAGGGGGGGGAGCGAATCTACTCAAGACTCGGCTGCTTTCCTGGCCTCTCCCAGCGCGGGAGGCGCCAGCGTCTCGAAGGCAGCCGCGCCGCGGCGGGGCCGAAACCAGCTGCGTGCAGCAGCTGTCGTGGCATCCCCTTTCTCGCGAGGCCTCCCGGTCGTCCGACCCCATCAGGCGGGAGCGGTGGTGTCCCATGCGCAAACATGATCGACCCACGAACCCGGAAAGAAATGTAGAAATGTAAGGCATGGCAACGTTTCGAAGACACCTGATTGGGCGACGGGCAAATACAATGCTGAATGTATCGATCTTGATGTACTGTGCCGAGGGCTGTGCTGTGCTGCCCCGTGCTGAACTGCGATGTGCTATGCCGCAAGTGTGCTCGATATAGCGTTGTGGATCGAGTCCTCCCTGGCATCCGAGTCCTGACCGAACTGACCTGGAACTTAAGCTCCAGCTGCCTGAGCAGATGGTAGCTGTCCCAGAACTAATCGACAAAGGGGACATGCCAGGAGGACGCGCCGCGGAACGTCCCGAGGGACGCGCCAGGCGACGTGCCAAGGGACGTGCCATGGGCACGCACCGCGGGACGTGCCAAAGGGACGCGCTACGGAACGTGCCAATGGACGTGCACCGCGCGATGTGCCAGGGGGACTCGCCAAGGGATGCTCCGCGGAACGTGCCAAGCAACATGCCAGGCTGCAATGCTAAGGGTATCGATATTAATGTACCGTGCCGAAGGCTGTGCTGTGCCTGGGCGACCTGGACACGTGAAAACACGCGTTTCGCTCAAGACGTTCTCAGCACATCCTCATGCTAGACATCCGCCTGGGCAACCTGGACACGTGCAAACAAGCGTCTCGATCGAGACTTCCTCGATACATCCTCATGCTAGACATCCGCCTGGGCGACCTGGACACGTGAAAACAAGCCTCTGGTTCGAGACATCCTCAACAAATCCTCATGCTAGACATCTGTCTGAGCAACCTGGAGGCGTGAAACCAAGCGTCCCGCTCGAGACATCCTCAAGACATGGGCACGTGAAAACAAGCATTCCACTTGAGAGTTCCTCAGAATTCAGGTCCCTATAACACAAAACAAGCGTTTCGCTCGAGACTTCCTCAACATATCTTGAAAAACAAGCGTTTCGCTAGGGATATCCTCAAATTTTAATTCGCCGGCCCTCTTCCCACTCGTTATTTATCGCAAAAGAAATCCGCCAGCCCTCTTCCCGTCAGACCCGGGGGTAAACAGCTAAAAAAAGAACCCTGGGCCTACGCCCTTTCCGGGAAAATGTCTCGAGGAACAGGTCCGCTCCAGTAACAAATATGCTGCTGTGCGGCTTTTCGCGATGTCACTGCCCGGCACTGCCAAGATTCAGCTCACTCGTCACGTGAAGGCCCCCTGCAGGCTTTCCGGAAGGGCATGGGGCCCAACCCGAAGCTGAGGGCAGTGATCGACCGTGCCATCCCGTTTTCGCAGGTTGACGTGTGCGCTGTTAGCGCCCGTGCTAACCGCCAAGTGTCGATCGTCCAGCAGGCGCAGGCACCCGCGGCCACACCGCAGGTGCCCCTCGAGCCTCCACCCTTTGAGGTTCGCATGAACGCGCTGGTGGAGAGGATCCGCGCCAAGGAGCAGGCGCGTATTCTCTCGGAGCTCCAGGCTCCATAACTTTTTATGTGCTCACCTTGTGGTCATGTGACCTGTCCTTCGGATGTTCATTCTCGTCGTCGCCGTCTTCAGGGTTGGCGGCACCGGCCGTAAGGCCTTCGCAATACTCGAAGTAAGAGGAGGAAGCTCGCAGAGAATGCTGATTCCGCACCAAAGGAAAAACAACTCGATTCGATCTGGAAGTGACTCTTTGCAATCGACCTTGACAAGAAGGATGCGCAGTGAGGATGCATGCGCGGGGAACGCCCTAGTTGAAACCTCGTTGAACGATGCATCATTGCTATGCGGTCTGACCATTCTGGCATCGAGGACCAGCGCCTCCTGCTGCGCCAAACTGCGGTCGATCCTGGCGGCAACACCCTCGAGCTCACAAACCTGCAGGGACCTATTGGTGGTGTACGCAAGCAATACTTCGAAGGCGTATCTCCTGCAGCCAATTGCGGTCTACCCTGAAGGCTCACAAAAGCTGCGGGAACATGTTTGTGGGGCGATCCTGGCCCGTGCCCCAATGTCGAAAGCATCCCAATCGATAGAAGCCACGAACGAATGGTATCAGATTGTCCGATCTGTGTCATGACGAATCTGGCACCGCCCCGTCTCGTCCCGACCCAACAACGCGTCTTCGCTAAAAGCGGGGTCAAGCACCTATATCGCGATCAACACCACCAAGCCACCATGCTCGCGCTCACAACAACCGTCCAGGCAACCGTCACCATCATGACAATACTCATACCCATCACCAGCATCAATATCACACCATTATTGCCAGCACTGCCATTGTCATGGTTACACGCCGTAGAGCGTCACTTGCCCTTGTTGCCGCAGTGTATTTTTCTCCGTGGTCATGGGATCCAGCAAAGCCGCACTGTTGGGAGAGCGAACGAGTGGCGCGTCACGGGCCTTGGATATTTAGCGGGAAAGACCCACCCAGCTAATGATCTGCGCAGGCCCTCCAGGAACCGGCCCGCGAGATGCAGCGTCCAGCACGCCGCGCGCGGCGGACCCTGAGGGCGGCGGAGAGACGCTCCGCCCGCGGGCTCCTCTGGCATCGGCAAGTGCCTCACCTCGTCCTCTGGGATGGGCGCCAACCACCCCTGGGTGCGCGGGGGGGTGGGCTGCTGCGGGCCAGGGGCGGCGAGCTATTTCATCATGTGCTCGCGCGCGCGCGCTCTCTTATACTCATATGCTTCTACGCCAGGGTGCCAAAGAAGACTCCCAAGAGGCCCTGGAAACGCAACAGCCATAGATTTCCCATTGGCTTTCGACCGATTTGGGAAACATCGGTTCTTCGGTCTCTGCCCGAGACCACCCAGAAGGTCTGAACTTCGCCCCCCAAAACTGCCCAAACGGGCTCCCTAACGGTTTGAAGGGACCCCAAGACGGCCCGACAGAGCCCCAGCACGGCCTGGAGAGGGCCCCACGACGGCCCAGGATGGCCCCGAGACGCCCCCCGAAGCACGCCGTGGCCTGGTCTTTCTGGGAGACCGCCCTTGGAAGCACGGTGGCCCGAGGAAGCCCCCAACCGACCCCAGAAAGGCGCCCAGGAGGCCTCCTGAAGGCTCCAGAAGAGGCCCTGAAAGTTTGCCGTGAGGCCCTCAAGAAGGTCTCCAGGGAAGAGCCTCTGCAAAAGAGCCGGGGAGCATGGGGAAGGGCTTGAAGGTCGACGTCGGCTGGAGAGACGCGGGTTGCCAAGTGTACGCCGAGCAGGACACGGAGGGCGAGGAGACCAGGTCCGCTGTCATGGAGCACACTGCAAGGAATACGTGGTCAGACCGCGGAGGAATTCTCGCGTGAGGTCTTTGCCGCCCAACTTCGGCGGCGCGCCAGGGGGAGTGGGACGAGGGAAGCGGCCTTCTGAAAAGGCAGGGTTCGTCCTACGAGGGCCGAAAAGCTTCTCAGAGGGCGGGGAGCCATCCATGACGCGCCCTGCCCTCTCAGAAAGCCAGCCCTCTCGCGCCGCCCAGCCTGTGCGATGTTCCATATTGCCGACTCGGCGACCCCTGGGTATCATTTATCCGATCCCCATCCCGAGCGGCGTGGCCTGGGCCCCACTGGTCGATCTACCCCCCTAGATGGGGATATAGGCCGTTACCTTCGGGTTGCGAGGGGCGTATCCCCAACTGGGGTGGTAATCTGGTGGGGGTCTCGAAGGGGATGGTGATGAGGATGGGGATCGGATCAAGGATACACCCCAGACCCACTTTTGTTTGATCCGCGGCCGCAAGCGAGCGGGCGTCGGTGGAGCAAACGGCGGGGCGCACCGAAGCGGATGGAAGGCACGAAGGCGCGGGAAGACCCTGAGCAGGGGTGGACCTAAGCGTAGTGTTTCGTTGTGCTTTCGTTTTGTGTTTCGTTCTGGTTTGCCTGTTTTCCTGTACCTCCCTCCCAACACAAAAAACAAAGCACAGCCGAAGTCCAGCAAAGCATCGTTTTGGTCCAGCCCTGACCGAGGGGCGGAAGAGGAGGAGGAGGAGGCTGGTCAGAGCATGCACCTGTTCGCGGGCGTGCCGGACGGAGCCGTGCAGCCACGTGGAGCCCACGCAGCGAAAACCCAGGACGCAGCCATGTTGACGCCTCGTTTTTTTGGCGGCGAGCGCGAGGAGGAAATGAGAAGGAATGGGGCAGGCCTTCTCAGAAGGCACGGGAGTCCCCTGGCCTTCTGACAAATTTTCCATGCGAGCTCCCGCCGCCTTCTGAAAAGGCCGTCTCCTTCCCCCCCTTCCCCCCTGGCTCGCCGCCGAAGCCTCACTCCCGCCGCCCTCCGCCCCACTTCCGCTGGCGGCGCCGACGCCGTCTTACTTCCGTCGGCGTCCACCGAGGGCGAGGCGCGCCCAAGACAGAAGGCGCTTCCTGAATCGCGCGCCAGGCATGAAGCACAGGGGCAAGATCCGCCCTGATGCGCGGGCGCGGCAGCGCGGCCTGGTGGAGGAGGTGATGATAAGCGAGGTGTTTGGCCCAGACACCCAGCTGCTCCAACTTTGTCGATGCGCGGGCCCCAGAAGTCCTTGGGCGTGGCTTCATGGGGGGGTCATAAATGGGGGGGTCAGAAACGGTCCCCTTTCGTGCCCCTTTCGAGCCCCTCCGGACCCCCAGGGGGCTCGCTTAGGTACCGTTTGGGTACCTTTTCGGACCACCCGCGACACCCCCCCATTTATGACCCCTCCATTACGCAACGCCCAACGATGCGCGGTCCCCAGAGGTCCGGACCGATTGCCTGGGGCCGGGCTTTCGTCCCGAATCGTTGTTTGACGCCCCCGAGGCCCCGTGAGGGCGCCCGGAGGCCGAAGACGGCCCCCAAAACCGCCAGCTCTCATGTTCTCGGAGCGTCGGAGCTCTAGGGAGGGAGGCCACGGGGCAACGGTGGTGGCAGCGGCGACGTCGGCAGGCGAGCGAAGCGAGGGTCGTCTCGGCGGCTGGTGGTCAATCCCCCTAGCCAACGTCGCGAGGTGGGTCCAGGCCGCACGAATGGTTCCGGTCGTTTCTTCTCCAAGGGCATGGTCGACCCACGAACCCGGAGACGAATATAGACATGTGAGGCATGGCAGCGTTTTCAAAACACCTGATTGGGCGACGGGCAATTGCAATGCTGAGTGCATCGATCTTGATGTACCGTGCCAAGGGCTGTGCTGTGCTGCGCGGTGCTGACCTGCGATGTGCCATGCCGCGATTGTGCTCCATAGCATTGTGGAACGAGTCTTCCTTTGCATCCGAGTCTAGACCGAGCTGATCTGGATCTTAAACTCGAGCTGCCTGAGCACATGGTAGCTGCCCCAGAGCTAGGTGAAGTGGAGACGTGCGGGGCGTTCAGTCAACTCGACCTCAGAATCCGACTCGGCTCCGAAAAGTAGCGACATGCTTACGGACGCGCCACAGCATGTTCCAGGGGCGCAGTAAGGGGATGCGCACGGGGGCGCGTCAGGGGACGTATCAGGGAACGTGCCCTGGACGTGAGAAGGAGGAGGAGGAGGAGGAGGAGGAGGAGGAGGTCAGGGACCTGCCACGGGACGTGCCAAGGCGCGTGCCATGCGGCGGCCAGAGGACATCATACCGAGGGACGTTGCAAGGGGCGCGCCCCGGGCAGGGGAAACGCCTGGGGACGAGCCAGGAAGCGCGACAGAGGACGAGCCAGTGAACATGCCACGCCGAGCGGCGTGCTGGGGGACGTGCCAAGGCACGTCATGCCAGAACGTCGCAAGGGACGCGCCGGACGTGCCAGCGCGCCAGGGGACGCCCCACGGACGGGCAAGCGTTTCGCTCGACACATCCTCAACAAATCCGAATGTTAGACATCTGCCTGGACGACCAGGACACGTGGAACCAAGCGTCTCGCTCGACACGTCCCCTCTATATGCTCATATTAGACATCCGTCTGGGCGACCTGGACACGTGAGACCAAGCGTCTCGCTCGACACGTTCCTAAAACCTCATCATGCTAGACATCTGCCTGGGCGACCTGGACGCCTGAAAACAAGCGTTTCACTCGAGACATCCTGCCCAAATCCTCATATTACACATCCGCCTGGGCGACCTGGACACGTGAAAAACAAGCGTTTCGCTCGCCACATCCTCAACACAACCTCATACTAGACTTCCGCCTGGGCGACCTGGACACGTGAAAATACGCGTTTCGCGTAAGACCATCTCAACACATCTTCATGTGAGACATCCGTCTGGGCGACCCAGGCACGCGAAAACAAGCGTTTCGCTAGAGACTATCTCGACACCTCCTCATGCTAGACATCCGCCTGGGCGACCTGGACACGTGAAACCAAGCGTCTCACTCGGAACATCCTCAACACATCTTCATGTAAGACATCCGCCTGGGCGACCTGGACACGTGAAAATAAGCGCTTCGCTTAAGACCATCTCAACACATCCTCATGCTAGACATCCGCCTGGCCGACCTAGACACGTGAAACCAAGCGTCTCGCTCGGAACATCGTCAACACATCTTCGTGTTAGACATCCGCCTGGGCGACCTGGACGCGTGAAACCAAGCGTCTCGCCAGAGACATCCTCGCCAGATCCTCATGCTAGACGTTTGCCTGGGTGACCTGGACGCGTCAAAACAAGCGTTTCGCTCGAGACATCCTTAAGACCTGGACACGTGAAATCAATAATCCCACCAGCCCTCTGGGCGTAGGTGGTTCCGGGAGTTCCCTCTTCCAACCTCCTTCATCCCCTTCGGGGAGGGGTTTACCCCTCCCCCGAACCCCCTCCCCTGGACTTGGACGGGGGGGGCCGCTGGTAGTTAGAACGTCCACAACGGCCTCGGCGAGGAAGCCAACATCATAGGTTTTACCATGGTTTTGGCCGATTTTGGAGACTCCCGAGGGGGGAGGCTAATTGAGGGACCCCCTTCCTTTGATCGATCACCTCCAAGATGGCCCCAAGAGCGCTCCCAAGGCTCCCAAGAGCGCCCCAAGAGGGCCTCAAGAGGCGCCCAGGAGGCCCCAAGAGGCGACCAGGAGGCCCCAAGAGGCCTCCAAGAGTCCCCCAAAATACCCCCAAGAAGCCCCCAAGAGGCCCCAAGAGGCTCCCACGAGGCACCCAAAACGGTCCAAGAAACTCCTGGGACCGCCAAGAGGCCCCCAAGACGCCCCAAGAGACCTCAAAGAGTATCCCAAGAGACATCCCAAGAGACTCCGCGAGGCATTCAAGAGGCTTTTGACTCTTCTGATCGCCCTTATCCTCCTCCTCCTCCTCCCCCTCATCATCACCATCATCATCATCATCATCATCATCATCATCACCATCACCATCGTCAAGACCACCACCGTCATCGTCATCATCAGCATCATCAATATCAACATCAACATCATCATCCGCCTATTCCTCCTCCTCCTCCTCCTCCTCATTCCTCCCTCCCCACCCTCATCCTCCTCCTCTTCCGCCTCCGACTCCTCCTCCATCCCCCCCCCCTTGGGGTACGACGGCCTCCCCAACCCCTTGTTCCTCTGTGTGCTGCCCCGCTTCCATGATCACCTCTACTCGCCTGGGCGTCGTTTCTGGACGGGCTGGTGGGGATACTTTTTGATCTGCGGCCCAAAGCACGATTCCAGCGGGCGGGTCAATCAGGGCGTCTGGGGCACAG